TAAAAAAATATGATAAGTACATACCACTAGATGTAAGCTAGGATAGACGAGCTCACGGCTTGCCTGGTGTTAAGTGGAAACCGGAATCAAACACCCAGCACGAGGTCGTAATCTAAAGAGCATTGCCATTGTCAAACTCAAGCTAATGAAACTGAGTTAAAAAGTAAAATTCAATTTATCGTAATGTGTTGTTTATCTCAAGCAACAGCACTGGAATTAAATTTTATTGTAAGTTTTGTTTTACGTAAACCCCATATTCTACGATACAGTTTAAAATTCTTCAGAACTCATACCTCAAAATGAATTGTAAATGAGCTAGACTGTAACGCAGCGAGTGAGTTTGCTTTTTACGTTTTACCCTGCATGAGTAAAAAGCATTTACATAATAATGGGTTTTGAATAATGCATGGAGACTTTGAAGACTAACAGGCTGTGTGAGGTGTGCTCTGAGGAATTGTTTGAGATGATGCCATCATCTCGTTTTTACCATCGCACCGCCTGCCACCGGAGTAGAGTTCATCCATACTACCTGGAACCACTGCGTTCATGCACAGTGCATTTCCAGAGATCTTTTTTGTCACGTACCATCCGAGGTTGGAATGAGCTCCCCTCCGCGGTCTTTCCCGAGCGCTATGACATATTCTTCTTCAAATCAGGCTTGTGGAGGGTACTTATCGGTAGGCCGCGGCTTGGCTCTGTCCCTGGCATTGCTAAACTCCATGGGCGACGGTAACCATTCACCATCAGGTGGGCCGTATGATCGTCTGCCTGCAAGTGCAAAAAAAAAGGTGTTAGTCCATTGCGAAGCATCCCTTTACTATGATTAGAGGACTAAACATTCGAAAACTGTTATTTCTATAATTAGATGTAATCTCGTGGTAGACTACACTATGAGGAACCCTAATTCAGCCTATTAATGCCGCGAGGCATTAATGAAGTCATGATTTCCGTTTTGAAGGGTCTGGGACAGACGTCAATAAAACAATTGAATCTTCGACTTCAAGTCTCGAGGTGAGTGGCAGTAATTAAGTTATGCTGTCTGGGCTGTGGGTTACAGTACTTATAAACAACAAGTCTAGAGCAATGGTCGGTAACCTTGTCAATCAAAAGAGCAAAATATAGAAAACACAGCAGAAACGTATTATAAAACTAGCTGACCCGGCAGACTTCGTAGTGCCTCAATCGACAAATAAAAGACCTAAACTTTTGTATTAAGTTAACTTAAAACAAACAAAAGGAATCCGTCCGACGGGGGACACATCAAAGGAAAAAAACAATATTGTTCTTTTTATTTAATTCCGAGCATTTTCATATTTATCTACCTTTTAAACCTTCTCTGGACTTCCACAAATAATTCAAGACCAAAATTTGCCAAATCGGTCCAGCCGTTCTCGAGTTTTAGCGAGACTAACGAACAGCAATTCATTTTTATTTATAAGTATATAGATAGAAGATAGAAGATAACAATTTTTTAACATTTATTTATGTAGCTTTGTCTTTCAAAAATGTTTAATCGTGTTTTACAAGGTATGATAATAAGTAATATTCCGTGCCTGAACTAAAAATGTCGGACAAGCCGTAGCCGAGGAGTCAAACAGCCGCATGCGGTTCGTGAGCCGTATGTTGTCCACCGCTGATCTAGAGCAATTTAAAACAACACGCAAGGCATGATCTTTTAAGGACTTTTTCCACATGTTGCCTTGAATTATTTAACAATTTTATTAAAAAGCACGTTAATTATAAATTATTATTATTATTTTTTATTGCCTTGATGTGTGGACGAGCTCACAGCCCACCTGGTGTTAAGTGGTTACTGGAAGCCATAGACATCTACAACGTAAATGCGCCACACACCTTGAGATATAAGTTCTAAGGTCTCAGTATAGTTACAACGGCTGCCCCACCCTTCAAACCGAAACGCATTACTGCTTCACGGCAGAAATAGGCGGGGCGGTGGTACCTACCCGTGCGGACTCACAAGAGGTCCTACCACCAGTAATTTCACAAATTATAATTTTGCGGGTTTGATTTTTATTACACGATGTTATTCCTTCACCGTGGAAGTCAATCGTGAACAACTGTTAAGTACATATTTCATTAGAAAAATTGGTTGCATCGCTATATACGAATGCACCGTACTTCTTATCCTTTAGGCCACGACGACTTCATTTAACATCCGTCTACCATCATAACCTCATTGTTACATAACTATTAAATTGTAAAACGTATTTTCTGTAAAATAACATCACTATGTAAGATCTAAACAGGCAATTTGTCGGTGCGAACAAATTACTCGAGAAGGAAATATTAAACAGATGTTTTGGAACTTTAGCCGCTCGTGATCACAATTTGTGAGCGAGAACGCGCAGTAAATTCACTTTATTGTTACTTGTAAATAAAGTTTCTTTTAAAAATGTCGAACTTCATCCAGACCTCGAAGAATAATTCAGATTTCGAACGTTAAGTTTTTCAGTATCATTAAAAAAAGCTTAAAGGCATTAATTTATACCGTTAAAGGGAATAAATCTTTATGATCGCAGTTCGATTAAATTCCACGATAGTTAAAGTAAGATCAAATACGGAAAGTGTTATGATTAAGTGTTATAATACAAAAAATGTATCTACTTATATCGCCGTTTTGTAGGCGTCCACAGCTTCTTCAGGTGATGAAAATCTCTGTCCACGCAATTTATTCTTTATTTTGGGGAAAGTATAGAAATCATTAGGGCTTAGGTCGAGGCTGTACGGCGGATGGTCTAATAATTCTATGTTTTCTTGCTCTAAAAACTCTTTCGTTCTGTGCGCGGTGTGAGAACTCGCATTGTCGTGATGGAGGATGATGGGGCGGTTGCAGTTCTCTTTACGGAGTTCAGAAACGACCTGTGGCAAACAAATGCTAGCATACCATTCTGCATTAACCGTTCTTTGTCCCTCAAGAGGAATAGTCGTAACATGGCCGGTTTTGGAGACAAACGTGGCCACCATTTTTTTTGAAACACTCCGTGAACGAACATATCCAAGATTCGTCACCTGATACAATGTTGTATACAGCATTTAAGGATCCTGCGTGGAATCTTTCGAGAGTTCTGACACACCAAGTAACGCGAGCCGCTTTTTGCTCTTCACAGAGCGAATGCGGTATCCATCGGGAAAACAACTTTTTTACACCTAATTGTTCATGCAAGATTATTTGTATTTGACTCATGCCAATGTCTAAAGTTGCCTGAATTTCGCGGTATGTCACATGTCGATCTTCCTCAGTCAACTTACGCACAGTATCAACGTTTTCTTGGGTGACTGCAGTTTTTGGACGACCTTGACGGGGATCATCACTGAGCTTGACACGTCCACGTTGAAACTTAGCAAACCAGCGATAAATTGTGGTTTTGGATGGGGCTTCATCACCAAATGCAGAAATCATCCGGTCAACACACTGTTTTTGTGTTAAACCACTACGAAAGTCATAATAAATCATCGCTCTTGAATTTTCTCGAGTCAATTCCATTTTCTCAACGACTAAACAAGTTTGACAAAACCTCGTGACAAGACCGAGAATCTTTNCAAATGCAGAAATCATCCGGTCAACACACTGTTTTTGTGTTAAACCACTACGAAAGTCATAATAAATCATCGCTCTTGAATTTTCTCGAGTCAATTCCATTTTCTCAACGACTAAACAAGTTTGACAAAACCTCGTGACAAGACCGAGAATCTTTTTTTAAATAAATAAATGGTATTCGATTTTTAAAACCAAGGAGTTTTCAATTAAACTCTTTTTTAATATGACAGGAACAGTGGAAATATTCTATTCCCGATACTTTTAGTGCAGCCCTCGTACCCAAAAAAATTCAAGTTCATCTTTTTATTTATTTATTGCTTAGATGGGTGGACGAGCTCACAGCCTGACGTTAAGTGGTTACTGGAGCCCATAGACATCTATAACGTAGACGCGCCATCGACCTTGAGATACAAGTTCTAAAGTCTCAGTATAGTTACAACGGCTGCCCCACCCTTCAAACCGAAACGCATTACTGCTTCACGGCAGAAATAGGCAGGGCGGTGGTACGTATCCGCGCGGACTCACAAGTGGTCCTACAACCACCTATATATGCAATAAAAAAAAGTTGTATATGTATTTAAACGTATATAATTAACTATGTAAATGTGGTATGTATCTGGTTCCCATTACACGGGGACTCATAATTTCGGGACGAATGACTATTTTGTGTGACTTGCACCCGGTTTTTATTGTATGCAAATGGAAATCAACTTTAGAAAGGTATAATTTAAAAAAGACTAAGTACATTAAATAAGCTTACTCTGAAACATTGGCCATCTGTTTGTCGTCTATTTACCGTTTCAATATATTCTTCAACTATTTAATGTGGTACAATTGAATCTCCCTTTGTCTCTCTTTGAAGAGGGAGACTGTCTCAATTTGTGTATCGTTTCAGACGATTTACATGTAGCGTTCTTTCTTTTCATTCTATTTCAATAACTATTGAACTTATTGTTAGACAGTGTGCAGAATTTCGACAGTTCATATAAAAAAAAAAAAATTTATTTTTTATAATTATTTTATGTTTTCATTTCTACTTGGTACTTTGTTTGCAATAATAAAACTTTGGTAACGAAGTTTTGATGACATTTATTCGACAAGCTTTCCCTTTTAAATATTACGACGTAGCTTAAAGTTTCAAATGCAAATAAAATAAATTGGAAAGTGTACTAAATTCTTACTACCGACTTAAGTTTACTAAATAAACTTATAATTTTTAGAAGTATGTACATTAAAATTTAGTGATGAACAGATACATTCTTATTGACAGTATTACGATCTGCAGAGTGTAAAGTTTAATTCTTGGTATCGACAGAAAAATTTTACATTTATATTTTTTATCTAACTACAGTAGAAAGAATTTTCCTTTTCAACTCGTATATTTTATTCCTAAGATATGCAGACAACGAGCTCTTATTAATTAAGCACGTCTTTGTTTCAGGTCTAAGCATGATTTGAATTAATCAGGTGAGTTAAAATGGTTTAGTAATTTCTTTTTTTTTATTAAAGAAGGGGTATACTGGTGGCCCTGAGGCCTTTCCAGTTTCACCAGGACAGGTGGGCGAACAAAGGCTCAGCCTGGAAGGGTGGGATTTGCTAACAGCTGCCCGAGCGCCTCGCCTTCGCGAATGCATCTACTGCCGGATCGAAATCGCGACCCGCTAAGAGGATCCGGTGAGAAACTCAGCGGGGTGATGTATGGATTACTTATACATCGCGCCTTTCTCAAGGCGTAGTCTCCCGGTATGAAGTGGAAGAAGAGGAGGACTTTGGTCTTCCTCTTCTCCCTCTTCTTCTCTGGAGGAGCCGGAGTCCGACATAACCCGGTCTGTTACCCCTCTCGGCCGGGTATCCGTAAACGGATTACTTATACATGGTTGCACTCTTGTCAAGTTCGATGAGTACGGCTCACTAATTTCTTAATGATTGAGGATGTCAGCAGTTTAATATTGCGTTTATTGTGTGATATGAAATTAATAGACGCAAAATTAAACAGTCATAAAGGATTTCAAGGTTTTTTTTTTTAAATTGCACCCTATTGTATACAGTTATCTTTATGTAAATAAAAAAAATCACACTTTGTGAATTATGGTTCAGAAAGGAAAACAACATTAGGTCTAAAAGTTTTTCTCCGAAGTCTTTTGTTTGAAATTCATAACAAATAATTGAATCTATAAAAATTTTAGAGAACGCGAATCAAAGAAGGATTTTTAAGCACTTGAACATTATTATGATCTGTCGAAGTAAAAACAGTTCTCTGCCTACCCAAAATCCTAATGAATAAATGCGTGAATTATATAAAATTTAATTTATATTCATGAAAGGCAGAGATATAACCAACCTACCGACTGTTCTTATAGCCCTTTGATGTATTCACGATCTCAAACACAACTCTAGTTATAACGAAGTATGGGAATGTGAAAGCGAACCTTTGCTCCCATTTTCGTTGGTTCCGAAGTTCATAACAGCTTTCCGAACAAAAAAAGGGGTCGGATCCGCGTGTGCGTAGGATATGCAATATCCATTGAGATTGATAGTGACTTCATATTATTTTGTCACTGTTTTGCAAGCACACAAAATCAAAGTCAACGACGAGATAGAAATATGGAAATGAATGCTTATCAATCGCAATTGCTTAAAAGTCGACTGTTAAACACCCTTAATGAAAGTAGATATCTTATACCCAGCTATTATGAATGTAAAAACGCATCGTTAAGGCATCGGCAGCAGGTATCTTATACCCAGCTATTATGAATGTAAAAAGGCATCGTTAAGGCATCGGCAGTAGGTATCTTATACCCAGCTATTATGAATGTAAAAAGGCATCGTTTAGTTGTTTACGGCATTTGCTAAATCCATATCAACTTCATCAAATAAATGTGTTTTATTCTCACTTGTTCTTGATTTAAATACTTCCCTGTGTTCGTTGCCATGGATAACTGGATACAGTAAGTACCGATTCAGTAACTGCACTAACCATTAGAAGCAAATAGTGGGTGCGGAGCGCTCATGACTTGAACATGAAAAATAATGAGTGGCTTTGAGTAATGGCTCTATCAACGCACCCCGCCTCACGGCAAGACTTTTGCACCACTTGTGTATACTCTATGTTTGCGACGCACACAAGCATCACAGAGAAAAGCAGGGGTCACTACTTAACCTCAATTAATGCAAACCGATTCTTTAACATTTAATAATCGATTATCTTCTAATAATCGATTCTATTCTAGCGAATGTTCATTTTCGGGTTCTTCGTGATCTAATTTTCTTATCTTCCATTAAAATAAAAATAAACGTCGTCACTATCAATTCAAATTCAAATATAAGTTACACTAGGACGTTAAATGAAATCAAGTGAGATTTAAAATAATATACCGAAAAAAGAATCGATTTGACGTTACTGAGTAAAATCTGAAAACAAAAGAGGTCGACATTTCTGATAAAATGAATTCGAGTGAGATCTGACAACATCCGCATTATCAACCATTCGAATATTCCCAGATCCTATTTGCATAACGAGATTATGTCTTATGGAATTTTGTAACGGTTGACATCCGAACATGTTCCTGCAAATGCAGAGTAATGAGGTTGTTATGTGCGTGGGTCAGACCGCAAATTGAAGGGTTCGCGTTTCAAAACCAGTAAAACGACAGTACGATGTGAATGCCTATTTTACGGTTTACGAACCATTAACTTTAGGGTCTGGAATAGGCCAAAACAAATCGCACTCTTCAAACTATACCTCTGTTAAAAATTATTATGTACGGCAAAACGTAATAAACGATTGATAGCTCTATGGCACTATGCCATTGATACGCTACCTGTCAATAAAAAGAATACATCGGAAACAGATTTCACAATCAAAATAAGTAGCTGTATTGTAGAAATTATGTTGCGAGATCGCCTTATTCGATTGCTCGGGATTGGTTTCTTTTGACCCTCTAAGAGTTGAAGCTTTTATTGACAAGACTGAAAGATTTTTATTGAAAAACGAATTTAATTTGAATAGTTTTAAACGCTAGATTTACACTCTAATACAGTTACATACACTAGCAACTCTGAGAATATTGTGATGTAATTCCCAATTTATTGAAAATTACGATTTAAAATCGGTCAAGGAGCCTATACTCATCAGCTTGTTCAGGTCAAACATAAAATAATAGCTTCGCTCTAAGGTCAGAGGAACCATGACCCTGGTGACTTCCGCTCGTCTCCGTCCTCGCTAACATACATAACAATTGTTATATATCTAAAGTAAAACTATATAGAGATATTTAGGTAGACAAGCTGTGGTTCGTTATAGTTTTGCGGTAGGCAGCGGCTTGGCTCTGCCCCTGGCATTGCTGAAGTCCATGGGCGACGGTAACCACTCACCTTCATGTGGGCCGTATGCTCGTCTGCCTACAAAGGCAATAAAAAAAAAACCTTCGTTGAGAATCTATACTAATATTATAAAGCTGAAGAGTTTGTTTGTTTGAACGCCCTAATCTCAGGAACTACTGGTCCGATTTGAAAAATTCTTTCAGTGTTAGATAGCCCATTTATCGAGGAAGACTATAGGCTAACATCATATAACATCACGCTAAGACCAATACAAGCGGAGCACCAATAAAGAATGTTTCAAAATCGAGGTTTTTTTCCCTTTTGAGAGCTTCCGCTGCGTGCACTGCAGAAACGGTTTCGCTAAAATAATGTATGACAGAATTGTTCCCCTTTAAAATATCTAAAAAAAAAGTCCGCGACAGCATATGTCTATATGTTAAGGTTGGTTCACTATAACGTTTTTTATGCTAACCAAATTTGTTCTAAAATTAAGCATTATTTGTAAATTATTCCACGCGGACGAAGTCGCGGGCAAAAGCTAGTCCTTTTATATTTGAGGCCCGCTTTTCTATTACGTAAGAAAAGCGATCTATTAAAATAAGTGAATCCATTAATTTTAATCCACTATGTAATGAAGAAACCTTACGATCTAATAATTTAAAGGTAGTTTTTAATATATCGTTACAAGATGTCTAGCCTTTAATTTACAGATGATAGGGCATATTAAGAGCCCATTCGAATCCGAACTGCCATACTGCTTGTTACTGCAGAGCGCTTCAGAAACAACAGAGCTCACTGTAGAGTTTGATGCTAGGTAGTGGCGCTGTTATGAAGGTTTTTTTATTGTCCCAATAGGCAAACGAACATACCGTCCTGATGATGAGTAGTTTCCGTGGAGTCAAACCGCTACCTATCGTAGCTGTTGCGTCATAATATACTTATTGCATAGGTAAACAAGCTCACGGCCCAGCAGGTTTTAAGTAGGAACCAGAACCAATTGACCTCATGAAGTAGATGCCACTTCTCACTTCAAAACATTAGGTCAAAGTCCCAATTGTATATAACGGCTGTCTCAAACATTAACACCTATAACAGCATTGCCTTACAATTTGTAATAAAACAAATTAGAAAATTTCTGGGTTCCTTTTTTGTTGTACTATGTTATTACATCACCATGGAAGATTTTCCGTATTTCTTTAGAAGAATTGCTACCTACCTGCTGGGTTCTAAGACCGACATTGTCAGATTTGACAGGTTTGATTTGATCGCTTGTCCCGAGTACACTGGGCGTATTATCTTTTAGCCACGACTTCGAAAGGGAAATGACGGGATTGTCTCGAATTAATTGAGCAATTTTATGGAAACCGTTGGTCAGACCAGGTAACTGCGCTCACTGGACTCTCTGTTACGACCACCCTGAGAGAAGCCGAAAACCGAAGGAAATGGAGGCTGATGGTACAAAGAGCCACGAAGGGCTTTCAGGGACTCGACCTTCAGCAATGAAGTATGCGACTAAGAAGAAGAAGAAGGGAGTATAGAACACCCAAAAATCACAAATTAACTGTGACATTAGAATTTTTGGTAATCCCATCGGTTCTTCTATCTATAAAGTCAAATAGAAGTAGCCGAAATTGGGAACTATTCTCGATTCGAATAATCATAGTTTTTATAAAATAAGTATTTCACCAAAGCATGAAGTATCACAAGCCAAACTGGAAATGTTCCATAACATTTTATACAATTAGTCTTCTTATTCAGAAAGGCAATTTGTTAAAACAAAATAACGATATTCATGGAAGTCATCCAGTGTTCTTGTTAACAACGTTATCTGCTTCGCTGGATAGTGGAAATGTGCGGAGGAAATTGAGTTATACCACTCCCGGAACTAGCTTTCATGAGGAATAACTAAAACTAGACTACAGGTCTACGTAGAGTTTCGATATTTTTTATTTTCCACCTTCCATCTAAACTCCAAATACATTTTAGCGTAATAAAAGTTTATTTTTTATTTGAATAAAATTGTACAGTCTGTGATAACTAGTTGTGATAGCATTTTAGGGTTGTACTTTTTTTAAATCTTGAAACGCTAATTATAATAAATTAGCATAGATTAAGATAAATAAACAATAAATCATAAATGGTGA